ACACTACACACACCTCCCATCCCCACACAGACACACACTACGCACAGCTCCCACACACCCATGCACAAACACCTCCCATCCCCACACACACACACCTCCCACCCCAGCGACTCACCCACAGCTAGCCCTGCCACCACCGGAGCTGCCAGGATGGAGGCTGCCACGCCCCCTGTGATCGCCAGGTTCCGCTTGTGTCTCGACGCTTTGTCGTAGCGAAAGTGAATCTGAGGAGTAGACACATGGGACAATCTACATATCTTTACATCTCTAGTCAGTTTTTGTTTTAGTAGAGGTTTTACAGCGCTCGCAACTGCATAAAGTCATAGAGTGCCAAGGGGTGGGTGTCAACCACAGGATTCTACACTTATAGAAGTGGAACTCCCTCTTCGCGATCGCAGATTCGCTGTGAGGAATTGAAACTAAAACATGGCGGCCTGTTGAGGGCACCTTAGGCTGCGCCGCACAGCGAGGCTTCGCGTTGCTATGCACGCTGATGCTAGTGGTAGGGCTTGGAAGACACCTTACATCGGTATTTTAAAACTTTATAGAAGAGGAAATACAGTGAAATAGTCTAATACATTTTTATTGCCAACAATATGTCATAATTGGCAATGTTACAATGTTTTCGTGTTTTTGGTTGTTTTTTAAAAAAATGATGGGATGGGATCTAGATCTAGACCTACTAAAGATCTTCACACTCACAACACACTTGATAATAACACTAATTATGAACATTAATTCTGTTGGCAAAATATCTATGTATAGCCTTGACTAGTACTACGATAAAGGGGACGCTGACAGTAACATGCTCTCTACAATTACATTGTCATTAAACTTAAGGCCATCGGATCCACAGCTAGCAAAAAAGAACAATATAAGCCTTTTCTCCAATTTACTTATCTAGAAAGAGATCAATAAATTGAGCTTATATTGAGAAAATGTATTACATGTATTTCTCACTTTAAGAATTTATCTCTGTGTTTGCATCAGTGAAATATAGTGTGTACAACATAATATGCTTTGTTTAAAGCATGTGCGAGTCTAACAAATACAAAAGATTGGAGAATGTGTCGGTTGCACATAAAATACATAGGCCTGTTATACATGCTGCCAAAAACACAAAAATGCAGAAAAGGCCTCAAAATATTGTTTTACACATAAAAGCCAATAATGCAAAACAAAGTAAACAAGAGTGCAACTGGCATATGTTTCCTGAATATATGTTCAAAGTCATTTTTTTGTGTGTTGAGAGAGTGATTTCTAATGCATGAATGATAGGCTCATTCAGATGTGATAATGAAGAAACTTGTGTCTACAGTCACAACAGAAAGAGTTCCATGGCGAGTGATCACTGGTCAAGGATTTCAAAGCTGTGTGCTTTTTGAGAAATATGTATCCCCATACCCTGGATCACTTGTCGAGGGGATGGGCTTGTCCCCCTGTAATCCCGGCACACAGTAAACAAACACACATTTTTGAACATGTATAAGAAAAAATAAGTGGTCTCTTGTTACGGATCAAATTGAAGTCCTGTTACAATTCGATTAATTGATAAAAGCGCGTATCGCAATGCATTGGCCAACCCTGCACTATAGGCCTATGCTATATTTAATAAATACATTCGTCAGATCTGGAATCTTTAATGCCCGCACACAATAAACAAACACGTTGTTACGGATCAAATTGAAGTCCTGTTACAATTCAATAATTGATAACAGCGCGCATTGCAATGCATTGGCTAACCCAGCATTATACGCTTTTTAATAAATACATTCGTCAGATCGGGAATCTTAAATTGTAATCATAATTATATGTGCCCGTGCGTAGGAATTGAAAGTGAAAGGAATTGAAAATGCTTTCAAAAACAATTATGAAAGTAACATAATTAAAGTAGGACTACATGTGCTTATAAAGGCCCAAAAAGGTGTATGGATGCGGAAATTAATGTTTCGGATGAAAATAATATGCTATCTCTACTACTGTAGCGTGCGGTCAAAAATTTGTTGCGCAATTTATTATCAAATATCTAGGCTACTGAACAATCGAACATCTAGATCTAGATCTAGAATCTCCTACTTTTGCACAATGACTTAGATGTATCAATTCGTCTTAACAGATGAGTATTTTTTCAAACATTTATACACATAAGTTCTATTTCATTCTAGAAAATTCTTTAAAGAAAATTCTTTAATAAATACTAGCCCAATTTTAAAAAAAATCCCAGTCAATGGTTTCTACAGATTTGAAAAAGTTTACAGCTGGAGCTAAATCTCTTTTAAAAGCAAGTCCGTCCTTTTTTTTCTACTTCTGCTGGCGACATAAAACTAATTATTGAACGCATGTGCATGTTTTGAGAACATTAACTCACTGACTACGGATCCCGTCACGGGTACGGGGCGGACGGTCGGTTCGCAGGTACGGATCCCGTACCCCCGACGGGATGGACTTTGCGGTTTTGTTCCGTATCTTGTGCTCCCGTCACATGAACGGGAACGGACTCCAGTGCTAGTTTTGCCTCTTGTTTCGTTTCGTGCAGAGTTTGGCTGAAGTTTCTTGATAACTTTTAAAACAATTGAAGGTGAAGGACAGTCACCTCATCTGGGGTTGACCTGACTGGAACTCGCGCTATGTTTTTTCTATACAAGTGATAGTAATCCGACAGTCGCGTTGAAGTAACGGTCGCATGAACAAGAATCACATAATTTCGCTGTTTTCGATACTTCTGTATGTTTTGATAGTTCTAGTGACTCAGGATATGATGTGTCTGATAGTTAGGACCCTGGATATGTACCCGAACACGGCCCGAGTGGTAGTTTTAGGGCTAGATCTAGCACTAGTACTGTTGTTGTTGTTCGCGCAACGAAATCACAACGTCGTTCCCTACATCTGTCTCATGTAATTCAGGGTATGGGTCTGAATCAATGCACAGACCAGCTTTTATATTTTCACCAAACACTCACACATGGATACAAATCAAAACAGGACACTTTGAACTTTTATTTTTGTTGTTTTTGTGAATTTCATTCTATGTCATGTCTCTGGAAATTTTTCGAAAAATCATATTCATTCCAATTTTGAAACAATCATAAGAATTAAAGTATTAGACCTAGAGAACTTAAAATTTTTGCAATAAATTAAGTTTGAAAGTAACTTTACTGTGTCAAAAAATAATTACAATACGGTAATTCTGAGAGTTGTGGTGGTGTTTTGAAATATCCCCAAAAATGCCAGTACTCAGCGTTAGTGATTTGTGAAAGTAGGGGCCAGTAGTCAGTGAGTTAATTAGATCAAGTGAAAAAATATGTTCTGTGGAAAATAAATTTCTTGTAACAAGTTTTGCTACTAAAAAATGACATAGGTCATATGCGTATGCAAAATGTGTGTGGGAAGCTAGAAGTGCTGTGAACCATCCCATCTGTTTTACGAATTTTTTCAAAGTTCCGTAGATCTTGTATAAACTCTCTATGTCTGCTGTGTCTGTTGCTGCAACCAAAAACACAACAATTTAAAACTTGACTCCAATCTCTAGTTGCACACTGAATTCTGTACTCAAAATTACAAACTGGACAGTAAATGTTCCACTTTTCACTCGTTTGTAAAA